TGAGGTTTGCAGCTTTTTCGCAAAAAATAAAATCATTTTAATTTAATATATGGTAAACTTAGTAGGGTAAAGAATAATTAAAAGCAGCTACATCTAACTTGCTTCGGCGACCCTACATAGTAATATAAACGAAAAAAATACCGAAAGTTTATATATATATATATATATACAGATACATGCAAAACACATAATATTTTATTATGGTGTAAATTTTGACCGAATACAAATAGTCATTAATGTACTTATTCGTGATAAAGTTTGAAAGTATTATAAGATCTGGTCTTCTCGGTAGCCTACAATTAGACCAAAACTCTAAAAGACAATTGATGACTTTTCAAGGAGTCTTTAGATGTACACTGTGAAAAAAAAAGGACAGTTCGATATCTCTAATTCTAGTACTTGGCTGATTGACGAAATTCAATTTGCGTTTTTCATGTCTTGAAAGCGCGACTTAGGATATGTATTAGATTTATATTTAAAGCATTGTTCTAATATAGGTATTTTGACACAAAATCGGACTTTTCTGAAATGACATGACAACATGTTTCCATATTTCGATTCTACGTCTCAAATTATGCCAAACTGCCAAATAAAATTTGATTAAAATTTTTTTGATTAAATTAAAAATTTTTTATTAATTCTTTTTAAAATTTTTATTTTTAAATAATTTTTCGAAAACAAATTGAATTATAACCTTTAAAAGTTTTGCCATCATCTTAAAGTAGAAGTATTTTTAAGCATACCTGCAAAAAATTAGAGTTTTTTTATTCAAACTTTTCTAAGATATACGTGAATTTACATTTTGGCGCGTATTGAAATTAGGCATATTTATTATAAGCGATATTAACGAAAATGTGGTTTACGCACTTTGTTCAAATAATTGGAAAGTATGAACGATGACTTTTTTTCCGCTCGTGGACAATGAAGAAAGAGGAAAGAAAAATAGGTTGCTATAAATTAAGAAGTTCGGCCAAGTGAATTATTCGAAATTGCGAATCGGGGCGAACTGAAGAAAATTCGACAAGATAAATTTTTAACATCTCCATAAATTACTCAGCAAAAATTATAAAATGTAATATCTAGGCATAATTTGAGTCTTGGAATCGAAATATGAAAAGCATTGGTATGTTATTGCAGAAAAAATGCGAATTTGTATCAGAATACCTATGTTAGATCAAAACTATATATAAATGTAATACAGTCTAAGTTGCGCTCTCGAGACATGGAAAACGCAAGTTTAATTTCGTCAATCGGCCCAGTAGAACGGGAGATATAAAACTGTCCCATGCTTTTTTTTTTTTTTTTTCTTTCCCGGTGCAGTTTATCTCAAAGACATAGAAAGGGTGTAAAGGACCTTTTTGTTAATCCACATAAAGTTCAACAGAGGGCATCAATTTTTGCTAGACACTTTTGGCTTTAAATCAAAGATAATGCATAAACTACAGATGATGAAAATAAAGGAACTGTGAAGCCTAAGAGCTTCCCAGTTTAATAGACGCTCTAAGTATCTCTGGCCGAAATCGGGCTTAAACAAACCTAATGGCATGAATAACTCGAACGCCGCAGAATTCTAATCGAGAAAATCAACGTTAGCAACGTGGCCTTCAGGTAGTTCAGATTTCAACCTCCAAAATATTCCTTTAAGTACTTCTGTCTTTCTATCTAATTTGAATATCGGGCACGCTAGAAAATTACATTCTGGCAGATAAATGGAACGAAGCTCGATAGGAATTGTTATTAACATAAAATAACTCGTTATAAAATTAAAAGGGGACCGTATAGTATATTCAGTGTTTACTTAATCCGTAGCTCGTTTCTGAAATTCACCAATACTATAAAAATTTGTTTCAGAACAGTTTAGTCGATTTGAGCATGCTGAAATTCATCTATCTAATGATCTGAAGCTTCAAACTTCATCTACCGCCAGTATGGTATTCATATATCAACACAGCGTCGAACTCGGGAGTTCTATGAGGAAGTCTTAATCTTGTCTATGTGGATTCCTTTCAGAGGTATCCAACTGAAACCCAACAAGCTCCAAAATTATATCATTAAATGCTATGATTGTTAGGGTATAAATCGAAATGTCTTTTTACGGAATCGTCAGTGATCCACAAATGCTGCCATCCTTAGTTATGAGAAGACTAATATTTACTTCAAAAGTATAAGCTAGCTTTATAAGGTTGTAAGAATTTTCCTAACAGTTAAATTTTGAGTTAAAGTTCCTTTCCTATCGTTTCTTAATTTCAACTTACAACTTCCGGCCATAACGTAATTTTAGAGTCACGTTTGAATGCAAATTTAAGGAATAGTATTTAACCGCGAAGTTCTACTGTCTCAATCAGAGAGAGAACCAGAGATTCTGGTAGCACGCGTCTGCCTTTTTAAGCTACTCTCTCTTAAGCTATTATTACGCTCGGCCGTACTTTAGTTCTTTGATAGCTTCGCAGTTTATTAGTGTTAAGGGTCCAACTCTGTTAGAAGTTTGATAGCTTGGGCGATATCGTTTTAGTTAAGATTAGTTAAGTTTAGTTCTTAGTCTCTTAAGTTCAAGCCCGAGTGTCGGCTTTATTGTATAACTTCAAGGCGGAGTTCTGTTAAACTTTAATTAGGAATAATAAAGGGTCTTTAAACCTTTTCAAGTCTTATTCACTGTCTCACGAACTCAAGCGATTATTCGCTTACTAGTTCTTAAGATTCTTCACATTCAACTGTAACTTAAAAGTACACAGTACAGAATCTTACAAGGTAATAGGCTGTATTGTTGTTTCGAGTGCAGAATCTTTGGTTAATAAATTAATCTATTGCATTTCTTTCTGCGCCCACTTGGGTTTTAATTAATGGCAAATAGAACAGGTTACCATGGTTACACAGAATAGGCCCTTTATTTTAATAACTTTAAAATCAGTACAAGCATACTCATATACAACCTGAAATATCTCAACAGTATATGTCCATTCTATTCAGCTTAAAGAAGTGAAAGCCTTCAATGATTTTTCTTAAGTAATCCTGCAGTCCCTAAACATATCCAGTACTCCACTATAGGTTTATGCTTCTCGATTTATTATTTAACTGCATGGCCTAGAGTAGCTGTCATTTATTAATGATTTCGTTCTTGATAAGTATTTTTTAAATATCCTCATTTCCTTTTATTCCTTTTTGTCCTGGAACCTAGCAGTAACGAATCTGGTATCCAAGATTCCTCAAATTTAGAGGTAAATCGTAAAATTTCAAAAACTTCAGGATTCTGAGCGTTTGAAAATATTTCAAAAAGTTTTAGAACACAACGCGAGTCAGTATAAATAATAAAAGTTTTCTGTAAAATCATAGATACAAAATGAAGAGTATAAATCTAAGAAGATAATTCAGCAGTCAGTACTAAGCAGGCGTTATTCTGTCGCTTATTTTTCATACGGGTTCCAGTAAGATCTGATGTTCCAACACGAATAACTGTCTTCGATTCATCAGTAAATATGGGAACATAACTGTTGTATTTATATCTATGCTCTTGGAAAGTTGTTTATGTATATCTTTTGTATTTCATTTCTTTTGTCAAAAATCACCAAAGACACCTACTACCTGAGTGGGAGTACTTTTCCATATCAAAGCCGCTTCCAGCCGGGATTTAAAAGCTGTTTACAGTTTGGGCTTTCACTTCAGACATGTAGAATATTTCTGTCAATACTTGATTTTTGCACAAAATTGAGATGCATAAGAAAGCTATGCACTAAACAAGTTGCAGCCATCATCTAGCGTATGAGGCCGACAAGAATGCTAGGATTGTGACATGACATTTTAGTAAAGATAAAAAACAATTGCTCACGTCTCAGCTGAAACTAGATTCGAAACAAAAGAAATCCGCAGAGCCGAATGATGAATGTGAGCTAGTTTCAATAAAACAGAAAACCCTGCTGATAAATAAACTGTATAAGTCATAATTTAATTTAAAGTGAACTAATGGTGTGTGGATCTGAAACAATTTGCCATATTCGTTAAGAATTAACTCTTTAAATACTTCTTCGTCAGATACATGACATGCGAAAGCAAGTTTAACTTGGAATTGAACATCCTTCTTAAAAACTTCACATCATGCACATCTTAAAGCAAATACCTTGAAGATGAAACTCAGGCACAAAATGGAGATTTTCCTTTCTGCAAAATTGCATGCAAATAAGCTTCTGTTTTGAAAATACAAATCGATGTCTGTCTGACTGTTTCTGTAATCTATTCAGAACGATCTGAAATTGTCTTTCTTGCATACCTGATACATACATCTTGATAGCTTATCTGAAGTTTATCTACGTACAATGATCATGAAAATTTAGGGTGAAATTACCTTCAGACAGAATTTATTTTTAAGCTGAATAAAGTAGCACTTCTTATTCAAACACATCTGACAAAACAGAGCCAGTCCACATTTGAAAAGCTCTAGCCTTCAAACAATTCTGTATAAATATTCGTAGAGTACTGTCGTAAAAGCCACTTAAATGATGCATTTTCATGCTTTATCAGCATGCCTCTGCAATATCAAAAACGACTTAGACTAGCTGTTTTCTCTTCACAAAGACTCTCAGGATGGTGGCTCCCAAATGGAGCATATTATCGATGGCGGCTCTACCTTTACAGAATCTATTTTAATATGGCTAGATTACGTATTTTTTAACAGACTAGATGGCAGTTAACCATTTTTACCGTCATACGTTATTCAGGAAATTAAGCGCTGATTTAGAAGCCGTTGTTGATTTTAGAATACGTGATTTCACACGTCGTTTCACTGACTGTGGCCAAATATATATCTTAAGCAACAGTCTTTTACGACTCCTGGTGCTGGCATCGACAGCCTTTTACTTAGGAAATGAATAAAAGAGTCTTTCAAAATTCGATAATTTCTATTCCGAGTTTAGAATTGTACTTTATGTCCTAGACATTGAAATTAAAAGCATGATTGTGAATAAATAATCTTATTTATTTTAATTAAAATAATTTGTAATATTTTCTAGCTGCCGACGATTACCCTTGTTGTAGAGAAAGCTGAGTCAGATGTCATGGACAGAAAGCCGCATAGTCCTGAAAAATGTTATTTAGTACATTCTAGGTATGTAAAGTTAAATTATATTGTTTGAAACAATTGAACTTTTTTTAGATTCATTTGAACAAAACTATAAAATTATTACAATAATATTTATTTAGGTGCTCAGCGAAAGACTGAACATAGTGTCAAGGGTTTATGTGAACATTATTACAAAATACAACAACTGTAATTTGAGGCTTATTAAATTTCATTACTTTGAATGCGTGAGTTGCGCATTCTATTTGTTGAATAATGCAAATCACTACAGAGCTGTTTGTGCATAGGGAAGAGGTGTAATCATAAAGATTTGTAAAGACATGCTGGCTGGAATTTGGGTTACATGTAGCAATTAGCTATTGAAGTTCATCTCCGCCACACAAAATCCACACAAGAAACAAGTATCTCTGGATGTCTGCAGTACCTGCACAGGTCTGCCTACTAAGGAAAATGCATCTTCAGTGCGACAGCACGTGCCTGCGATGCCAGTACCAGGAGTCGTAAAAGACTGTCGCTGGAGATATATATTTGGCCACAGTCAGTGAAACGACGTGTGAAAATTACGTATTCTAAAATCAACAACGGCTTCTAAATCAGCGCTTAATTTCCTGAATAACGTATGCCACGAACTCTGTTGAGTTTTTGCTGTTATTTAAAATAATTAATTTAGGATGCCATATTTATTTCGGATCTAAAATTCCAAGTCATTTCTTTATATATATATATATATATATATATATATAAAGAAAAGAGAACAAACTATAAAAGACTTAAGTGGTCAAAAACTTTGCGCATTGAGCTGCAAAATTTAGAAAAAAGTTAAAAGAAAATTCCTATTTCGTACGCCAAAAAGTTGCTTAGATACTGTGGTTGATTATAGATTTGATTATTATTAGATACCGTTGACAATATTAACATAAGTAAAATAAAGTGCAATGAAATGTGTAAATATAAAAGATTAAATAAATAATATAAACACTTGAATATTTACAAATAGAATTTAATACTAATTGTAAGCAATATACTGATCAAAGTAAGGCATATTTTAAACATTAGAACTAAAGTGTGACAAAAGATTTAAGCAAAAATACAAAAAAGATTTAAGCAAAAATACAAAAACAAAAAAGCGGTAAATGGTAGATTAGCCCAATTCGAATCTCATTAAGGCTCTTCAGGAGAAATTATTTTAATGATTTTCGAATCCAGCTAACTCCATATCGCGCTTCGCCGAAACAGACAATTGAAACTGTATTCGAAACTTTTTTTAAAAAAAAATTAATTGAATAAACTTAGCCATAAACGTAGTCTCAATCTCTGTTCCAATTTCCCGACGCGTCCGCTTGAAGAAACACATTAAGGTGTAATAACAACTATACGCAATGGACTGGTAATGCAATGTACAAAATAAAATAAATAGCGAAATGCTATTAGTCAAATAGAAGATTTTATAAAAATAGAAGTAAAATAGAAGATTTTATGGGAGGACCTAATACACTGACTACTAATAAGTATTTGGACACCTGTGATAGAAACGAAAAACTAACTTTATTCAAAATCAATAGTTGGTAGAGCCTCCACGAGAGGTAATCACAGCGTGGACCCTCCGGGGCATACTTTCCACAAGTCTTTGTATGACAGCTAGTGGTATTTTCTTCCACTCGGCTTGGAGAAGACATAGAAGTTCCTTCACCGATTTTGCACAGGTAGTGCACCCCTGAATTCGGCGATGCAACTCGTCCCAGAGGTTCTCGATAGGGTTCAGGTCTGGACTCTGGGCAGGCCAGTCCATTCGATGAACTCCATTGACACCATTGGACATTAACACGACCTTGGTTAACGTCGAAACATGACAACTGGCATTGTCGTCCTGAAAGTAACAGGGGTCCAACCCGTAAAACTGCCACAACGTAGGAAGCACATTGTCATCCAAATTAGTGCAGTAGGCATCGGAGTTGAGCTTACCATGAATGTGGACAAAGGTTCCTAGCCCATACCAGGAGAAACACCCCCAGACCATAATTCCACCTTCGCTGAACTTGACTGTTGGCACAATGCATTCTGGCAGGAGACGTTCTCCAGGTAGACCCCAGACCCAGACCCTGCCATCCGAACGGTAAAGGGTGAACCTTGATTCGTCACTCCAAAGAACCCGTTTCCACTGATCTACGGTCCAATTTCGATGTGCTTTGCACCACATTAACCGAGCAGCGCGGTTGGACTTTGTGATCAAAGGCTTATGGGCAGCAGCACGACCATGAAAACCAAGCAGATGTGCTTCCTTACGGATGGTATTCATTGAAAAACAATACTCCCGGATGCCTGTTGAAACTCCTCGCGGATGAGGGCTATCGGTTGGGTGCGGTTTTTCCGAATTTCTCTGAACAGCACTCGTCGGTCTCTATCCCCCAGTTTCGTTGGTCTGCCGACTCGGGGCACATTCCGACAATCACCCCTCATCTTCCACTTCTTAATCACATACGCCACTGTCGATATTGGGTACTTCAGATCGCTAGATATGACTCTTAAGGATCGGCCACATTTGTGATACCCGATAATTATACCTTTCTCGAAATAAGAGAACTCCGAACTGCGAGGCATCTTGCATGCGACTAAAGCCGATGCTGTTTTTCCTACACGATATATACCGGCGGAGTCCGTGGCGTACCTTGGGACCGCAGATATCGTCATTTGCATAGGTGTCCAAATACTTATTGGTAGTCAGTGTATATATATACCTAAAAACAGAACGTATTTTTCAGCTTGATACAAGTGATTTCTGTACACTGTAAAGCGATATAATTTTTACAGCATTTGTTAGCATTAAATGTTCGTGATTAAGGGGATTACTATATGGCCTGAGAAGAGAGAATATATATGTAGATTATTACAAATTTTGTATTTAGAGAGCTAATTTCAAACGAAAACAATGGAGACTGAAAGCAAAATTATATTGATAGAATAATTAAACTAAATTAGCTTAATATGAATAAGTCTCAATGGTTTTTGTTTCTTTTCCTGACGCGTCTGCAATTTAAATTCTGCTTTTAGTTTCAATTGATTTCGTTTGACGAACCGCGCTAATGGAATTAGCTAGATTCAAGTTTTGTGACACTTTTCCCTTGATAAGACCGTTTTAAACCTCGAGTTGGGTGAATTTACCATTTATTGCAATTCTTTGTACATATTTTCGGTGTATTTGAAATGTTTTTAATTTTTTGCGTGCAGCATTTAAAAAATGTAAATTTTTTATTTTAAATTTTTTTAGTTTTTTTCATCCCTTTTTGATTTTGAAGTTATCTCATTTTGTAATTTTGACATTAAGTTTTTACGCGATAACTTTTACTTCTTTAGTATTGCATTGTTGTTTTTACAATGTGTAACTATTTTGCTCAGAAACTACAGTATCAAATGTACTTTTAAACAATCGCTTTTGGAATTTCCTCTTCTTTGAATATATATATATATATATAGAGAGAGAGAGAGAGAGGTGTGTGTGTGTGTATCCATTGCATTTCAATATTAATTGCTTTCCTTTCCCGCTTAATGAATTTAATTTTTTTAACATTGCATTATTTATTTATTTTTTGTATTTTGAATTTTTAATTACTGTTGCTTTCTGCCTGCTATTGAACCTCTGTTTATTGTTTTTATGAATGTTATTTCAACTTATTTTTAAAATTAAACCCTGAGGAATATAGGTATTGCAAATTGAAACTAATGGAGGCCTCTTAGTGGATAGAAGTCACCTGACCTATTTTGACTGCTCCGATTGGCTAAGTAGCTCAGAGATACTTAGGTCCCAGGACTTAAAAGAGAAGGGCTAGCTCATAGAGCTTTTCCCCCTGAAGCAGAAAGTGAGAAGTGATGACGTATCCATGATGACACTGAGCGCGCCAATATAATTCACAGCTTGGAAATTAACGTTTTTGAACCAGCGTTTAAAATGAGCTGTGTGTGAAAGATAGCTATAATTTGGAAGAGGCAATGTTACTGCTTTATGCATTTTAGACTGAACCATTAAAAAATTTAATAATGCTTACTCAATTTTAAAATAATAGATAAAATGTGCTACTCTTTTAACATAATGTTCCGTGGTTTTTTTTATTATTTTATTTGCAGGTTTTTTTTTATTTAATGCACGTTTATTTCTAATCATTTCTTTATTTGCATGCTAACTGAGAGAATTTTTATACTGCTTCTAAGATAACTATAATAGCAGCTATTTAAATTTACTCAAAAAACAACTTTACATTGACATAGGTTTAAACATATATGACATATATGGAAACATTTCTGCTAACCTACGTTTGATTTTTTGCCTAATTGTAAATTTTACATTGTTATAATTCTCTTCCGATTCAATATAATAGATATTTTTTTAAATAATTTTGTAATTTATACTTATATCTATATTACAATTAAATAAATGTATATAAGATTGTTACCTTAATTTTGACGAAATAGCTTTATTCAGAGTACCTAAAACAGTTATTTAATTTTTCAAAAGTGTGAGTAAAGGAAGCAAGTCTTTTTATGCCAATTACTTTGATGTTTTATACTATTATATTTTATCTAGAATGCTAATCTAGCACAAAATCTTATCAATAATTAGTTACAAAGGATACAATAAGAATAACTTTAACAAGTACTTAACAAAATTAGTTTGTTAAATACTTGTTATTCTTGTTGGTACTATTTTGGTACTATTCATAATACCGAAGATATTATCGATTAACTCATAGAAGTCAGATGCTTTCTGATTTCCTGTGGGGTATAGTATACCTTTTGCGGTACTTTTTAAAAATAATGTTTTCTCTGGAGCGACTTTTTGTCTCTCATTTCCCTTGACCATTAAATAATTTGGTTTTAGTTTGTGACACAATTTGATTTCTTCTCAATCTCTATTTAAAAACCTCTTTAATAATATCAAAATTTAAAACAGTTACATCTTCTAAAACAAATCCTCTATCTAAAACGCGGTTTCTCATTAATTTGAGGCAGAGCGCAAAATGAGACCTCTGATTAAA